CCACCCCCCCCATCCCCAAAAGTTTCTCAGCGGATTTGGGCTGTACTCAGCAAGCGCAGAACAGCTTCCAACTCAGATCTGAAAAAAAATTAGTGGATGGTTGTTTTCTGACTGGTCAGCAGACCGCCGACTGGTCGGCCCTACTGGTCGGCGGTTGGGGTCGGCGGTCGGCAGGGATGCAAACCATGGCCTACACTACATTAATGCAAATAGGAAACGCTTCGATGTTGAAGACCAATGCACGTGACGACGTCGCCACACCAGACTGCCAGCATTCACCATTATGTGTCTCTCTCTCCTCTCACTTCACCACTTGACTTCCCACAAAGTGCGTCCCCGACACCCAAAGACCACCATCACCATCACCAACCTCCGTTGCACAAGCCCAGCTATGGCTGCTCAGCGCCCGCCGCACCAGCAGCCCCCAACACCACAGTGCACCCGTGTGCGCCTCTTCCATCCCTTGGCCTACCAGCGGCCTCCAGCGCTCAAACCAGCAGCGCTGCCGACAGCAAGCCCATGGCCAGAATCCCCTCTGGCTGTCGTGCTCACTTTCCTTTATGGAAAGTGAGCTCTGCTTTGTCGAGCTCTGGGCCTGGCTGGACTAGTTTCCCTTAGCTTCCAGTCGGGCCCCAGTGTCTGTGCCCAGGCCCGCAGTTGCTGTTACGAGCCTGGGCCCTTTACAGTTGGGCATGCCCAGGTAGCTCACAAGGTTACAAGTGTTCGACGTGATCTCATTGGCTGCTGGCCAGTGTGTGACGAAGATGCTGCATTCTCATTGGCCTGCGCCAGTTCTGTGATTTGTCGGCCTCTGGTGGCTCACGCCCAGGGCCTCAACTGTACCGCCCTGGGCTCAACTGCCTCTCGAGCTGCTGCTTCCGGAAGAAGCCAGGGAAAGGCTCACGTTACCCTGTAACCAACTGGCGTGCTGCAACTGTCTGCTACCTCACATGCAAGATTGACAAAAACAGGCCTCAGCCGAGATGTGGGGTGAGCTCTAGAAGGGCCACTGCGAAGATTCAGGCCCGCATATAGATTCCAACAGCCGTTTAACGTGATCACACTGGCCTGTACCCAGGCCTTGGCACATATTGGCAGGCCCGCCTTCACTTAGGGCGGGCAAGGCCTTTCCTGGCACTTCCGAGGGCTCAAATCCTCGCACTTGCTCGTTGCTCACTGGAGGTGTGACTTAGCCATCCATGAGAAACCGATTTTTAATTTTTTTTTTAATAGAAAAACATCATCCAGGCGTCCCTGCTGCGGACAGGGATAAGAGCCCGCACCCGTTGCAGGGGCATTCAAAAATAGAAAGAACGATGGGAATGTCTGGTGATGTTATTGTAGGCCTGTCTTACTCCTTGCTCACCAAAGGTGACTTTTGGAGAAGGACTTGGGGATATCTACCGATCTAAGTTCATGTAATTCCGGATTACATATTCAACTTGAGATTTTAACCACGCCGCCAGTGCAAGATAGTGTTGCACATCAGATAGCCCAAGGGCCGATGGCAGTGGGACTGCCATGGAACCTTCCATTTGAAGAGGCAAAGGCAGGCAAGCAAAGGATGCAAGTTTTTTGGTGTCCTGTTTTTTTTTTTTTTTTTTTTTTTTTTTTTTTTTACTTGCTCAATTTCTTCTTTATGTTTTGCAACAACTATCGGCTATGCATACACTGATTTTGTTTATGGCATGAACGGACGGTGCAGGGCTTCTCGACTCGGAAGAGAGCATCATGATGACCTGGCACATTTCATGGTAGGCATGGGATATATCCGAGAGGCTTTGCATTTGCCCGGGCTCTCGAGAAGGTGAGCGTTGATGTCGCACACGCACGATTTCAGAAGAAAATTCAAACTTTTCGAACTTGAACTTCAATCAGATTACTGTCCTGTCATTGCAGTTCAGTGTTCTTGATTTTTTCTTTTTTTCCCCCCTATCCCTATACTACTAAAGGAAACAGCGGTCCTCACGTGGGGCCCAACAGAAACCGGGCGCCTCCGCGCGGGACCGGTATTGGCCAGCGGCCAAGGGGGAACCGGTGGAGCCAACTGCGGGACTGGCGGGGCCAGGTATGACGCGCGCGGACGCGAAACGGCGCACGGGGAAAAAGGGCAGGGCCTGGCATCCGTGGGTTTGGAGACTGCGGAACCGGATGCAGGCGCAAGGGGACGTGCAAACACCGACGGAGCCACGGGTGCGCGAGGGAGGACATCAAACGGCGAGACGCGAAGGGGGACACAGATCGTGTGTGTGTGTGTGTGTGTGTGTGTGTGTGTGTGTGTGTGTGTGTGTGTGTGTGTG